CTGAACTCCTGGAAGACGATGCGGTTGGGGAATCCCTGTCTGCAGATACGGATCCCCTCCAGCACACCGTTACACCTCAGCTGGTCCAGAACCAGGTGGGGGTCCAGCTTCCCAGCCTGAGTGAGGAACACGATGATGTCTTAGTAAAGGTTCTGTGTAAATGCACTTCACTTAACAAGAGCATCTCATCTAGACTCGTTGATCAACAGATGTAGTGATCACGAGTCTCACCCTTTTCTCGTGGTTGGGGATGATGCAGCGGACGAAGTTGGGGTTGGTGTTCCTCAGCGTGGCCATCAGTTTGGACAGCTGCTCCTTGTACAGCTGCCCCACGGTGCGGAACATGCCCTTCTTGGTCTTGTAGGCGGCACCAAACGCCGTCTCATTCATGCCCGCAACCTGGTCCAGACCCACGATCCGGTCAACTGGGGAATAAAAAATTAGACGACAAGGAGTAATGAATGGAGGGCTTTATGTATTGACGTCTTCGATGGTGGTTTTAACTGATAGAAAAAACTCTTTAATGAAGGAAGAAAAGAGAAAATCCAAGGAAGTGAGGCTTTCATTGGTGTTTGAATGAAATGTGAAAACTGCCAATAAAGGTTGATGCGTTCAGCGGAGCAGGGTTTGCTCTTTTCTGTGAGACAAAGCATGAAGACGGACAACACTGTCGGCTGGTTTGATTGTACAGGCAACATTAAAGGTAGAGTCTGTTATTATGGAAAGAGGCTGTTGATATCTGGCTAGTTAGCATTTAGCTAGCTAGCATGTTGTCCTCTCTCGCGTGCACAAATGTGACTTTCCGCTTTTTAACAATATAATTTTTAACAATAACTGTTTTTCATTGTGAGAATTCACTTAGAGCTAGATAAGCTTTTTTTTTTTTATTTTAAACAATACAAACAGAAAGGCCTTACCTGGCTCCACATTCAAGCAACAGTTGTCAGAATAATTCTAGGCCACCAGTAATAACAGAAGATTTTTAGTACCAGAGGTTTTAAACACAACTGGAGCTGAGCCATGCAAAGCCAGAGGGGAGCTTTTAGACGGGTGCACAGTGCAGCCATGACAGAACATGGAACCAATGAGCCCTCCGGTGCAGAGGATGAGAGGCAGCCGGTGGTACACAAAGTGTTTCTATCATTCACCTGGAGCTTCATGGAGCCCAGACACATTGTCATAGAAAGAGGCTCTCTGAAACGTCTGAATGTCTACAGCAACAGAGACACAGACAGAGAGAGAAGACAGGAGAGTAAGAGAGAAAAAGAAAGTGGGCGTGCAAACACGCCCACCATTCATCCACTCACACTCCCACAGACATACGTTCACAGCACAGGTTAGGATTTAAAAAGGACTGAGAGGTAAATCCACTGCAGTACTACGATACACATATATATTATCAAAGCCATGCTATCATTTAAAACGTGTGTTATTTTAGCTTCTCAAGCTTCTCGGCTGCCTTATTAGCTTTCTGATAAGCTCAGAGATTAGTCCAGAAAGTGTTATACAACCATCTATACGACCAGTCTGTGACTTCTTAAGAATGTCAAATGAAAACAAGGATTCTCAGGGTCATGGCTAACGTCTGAGGGAAAAATTAAGAAGGTTTCACTGGAGGAGAATACACAGCATTAATAACAAATTCATGTTTTTGCTGGCAAAAGTCATCCAACATTAGACAAACCATAAATCAGCCTGCTAGCTCTGACGGTAGCGAGAGAGGAGAGAAACTGTTCATCAAACACGAGTTAAACTCAAGATAAAAAGTGACGGGCAACATCTTTCTGGACTGATACAGACACAGTAGATAGACTCACATATCTCACTACGCTTCTGTACATTTGAATGAGCCTCTATAACACGAGACTCACCGTCTTTCCAGAGCTCAGCCACAAACTTGTCGGTGGACTGGTGCAGCAGCGTGGCCACGTTGTCGTTCAGAGGATCCATGTTCTTCATGAGCCACTCGTCGGCTTTGTAGTCGACCTAAAGGAACACGAGGGATTCATCGTTTTAGCTGCTGCACAACAGAAAAGGCAAAACTAGCATGTTGACATAAAACCCCAAAAGGAAAAAACCTTATCATTTAGTTACACACAGTTTGTCAAGTAAACAGAAGAAAAGCAAAACAATTCAGGATATAAACGATATTTTTTGTTTTATTTATTTGACCGTTATTTTACCAGGTAAAAATATTTGAGAACCAGTTTGCAAACATGACCTGGCCAAGAGGCACCGGCAGGAACAAATACACATTTAAACTACAGACACAAATAGACACATAAACATAACATAGAACAAAAGTAAACAAATGTGCATGTGAGTGAAAAAAGGTGTGCATGAGGTGTAAGAAAGTGTGTGTGTGTATAAGTATATAAGTAAAGTCCGGCGTGATCAGCAGCAGCAACAGTCGACTACAATCTGTTGGATTTTAAGCTTGAAGGTGGTGAGCGGAGACAGAGGTGCAAGTTTGAGAGTGTTTTGGGAAAAGAGTTATGGCCAAAAATAGCAGCGGTATCGGGGATGATGAGCTCTATGTATTCACTAGACCTAGTATGATGAGGATTATGGGCGACGTGAAGAAGAGAGGACCGGTAGGGAGGTGTCTTAGCCAGAGTTGACTTGTAAATGAAATGAAACCAGTGGTGAAGCCAGCGAGTATGAGGGGAAAGCCGCCTCACCAGTTTATAGAGGTCACAGTGGTGAGTGTAGAAGGGCGCATTAGCGGCAAATGATGTCGCCATAATCCAGAATCGGGAGTATTGTCATCGTGACGAGGGCGTGTTTAGCAGCATGAGTGAAGGAGAGGAAGGCTTATCTGGCTTGAGTTTAGTCTCAAGACTGTTAATGTGATATGTACGGATGATGGACACAACATAAAAATTATTCCATACAATGTTTGAAAGTTTGACTCACAAACCTCTATGAAAAAGTAATTAAAATTTGGTTGCATGAACAAAGCCCAAGCGCGCTACCTGCTGAGCTGCCCTCAATAATAGAACTGGATAACTGAGACTCTTACCGTTGGCTTCAATCTTAGTCTTCCAAGGCTCACTATGCTGTGATTTTGAGATCATTACTTTATCCTAATTTACTATTATTTACGCCTGTAATTGTATTTTATGGCGGTTCCATTCCAAGTGATGTGGTAAAAATTAAATTAAACCATATTTCTGCTGGTCTTTCCTCAAGATAGGTAATTAAAAATGATCAATAATTATTGGTATTGCCTGAAATTAAACATTTTATTGTGATATATTTTTCTGCTGGATCATCCATCCATCATCTCTACACCTTAATCCTCACTAGGGTCATGGGGTGCTGGAGTCTATCCCAGCTGACTCAGGGTGAAGGCAGGTTCACCTGGACAGGTAACCAGTCTATCACAGGGCTACACTTAGAGACAGACAACCAAGCACACTCACATTCACACCTACGGACAATTTACAATCACCAATTAACCTCAGCATGTTTGTGGACTGTGGGAGGAAGCTGGAGAACCCGGAGAGAACCCACGCTGCACGGGGAGAACATGGAGACTCCATGCAGAAAGATCCCTGGTGTCCTCACCGGGATGTGAACCAGCGACCTGCTAGCTGTGCGGCTAACTGTGCTAACCACTGAGCCTTCTGCTGGATCTCACAGCAGCCTTAATTAGCATCAAATCATATTTTCATGTAAACTCTCCTATAAGCATCTATTCTTTTCCTCTTCTTCACTGTTCTACCACAACATTTACAGTGTAAAAAATAAAGTGATTATAAAACATAAATTCAGAGGATTGGTTTTCGATCTCGTCACCTGTCTGCAACAGTCTAAACTGACAGCTAGATCTGGCACCAGTACCGTTTCCAAATACCACTCTGCAGTTGTTTTAACCTCCACGCAGCACCAGATGTGCTCTGTTCGCTATCTCAGACCACACAATGAGTGGTAACAAGTTCAGCCAATCACAGGAAATATCTGCATTCAATACTGACGTGACAAGAGTCTCAGTTGGATTACACCTCAATCACTGGCTAATTACACAAGGGCTAAAATAAGGGCTTTATATTATTTGCACATTGTGTTTGATTGGCAGTGCAGCCGGGACGCCCAGCCACAGCGCGTTGGGCTGGGATTAGTCTCTGAAACACGATGATGACTCGTACGTGTTTTTCAAACATCTGACAAACTATGAAGAGTATTGGATTAGAGCAGAACATAATAAGTAAATGACACGGTCAGCAACCTGAGACCAAGAATGTGAGATCTGCATGTGGGTTTAATCAGGATCCTGGAAAAGCAAACTCACATCTTCCTTTCCTCTTCAGAATCACTCTGTCATGCAGGATTTATTTGGTGAAGTTTAAACTTAATCCTGGGACCTAGTGTTGAACGCTGGATGCTAAATATCTGTCTGAGTCGTCCACCTGTTTGTCAGGGTGAGGATCAGGACTGACGTTGACGGATGGTCCTTACCGTGCTCATAAACACATGTGCATTGGAGGAAAAAAGAGAGACAGGTAACCCATAATTAAACTATCACTCTGCTGCTGATATCAGATTTCTGACTTCTCTGGAATGCTTCGAGTATCGCTTTCTCTTCACAAACCGCCACTCAAAGGTGAAAGTTGAAAACCGCCGTTATGTAACCGCCAGGCATCAAAGGCTCAATGTCACACCAATGTGAACCAGATGTGGGTTTCCTGCAGCAGCCGTGAGACAACTGGGCTTTTGTTTTAGCGCACTGACCTGGATAACGGTGCCATCAGAGGAGCAAAGTTTGTGCCTCGGAGAAACACGGGCCAGAAGCAAAGTTGTAAAGAGAACATGGAAAAACCCAAGGCTTTAAAAATTGCTTCCACTTTAGTTTTTGCCTCGTAGAATACATTTTTAAGTGCAGCGATAATCAGAATGCAAGACACTTCAACGGCGCTGATATACGTACCCTGCCAGCGTAGTGGATGATGCAGAAGTCAGCTTTGTCCTTTAGCTGACGTGGCTTCTGAAACTTGGTGTGTGTTCCCTGCTCCTGCAGCACTTTGTCTACAAATGTCTTGTCAGTGGCCTTGGGAAACCAGCACTCCTCGTCCAGCAGAGCCAGGATACCAGGAGGATTAGTCTGAGAAGACAAACGGGGTTCAGTACAGTGCATTCATAGTAGCGGGCGTGCGTACACGGCGTGTTCTCACTGACCGGCCTCTCGATGAGGTCGATGCAGGGCTGCAGGTCGAGGCCGAAGTCGATGAAGCTCCACTCGATGCCCTCCCTCTGGTACTCCTCCTGCTCCAGGATGAACATGGTGTGGTTGAAGAGCTGCTGCAGCTTCTCGTTGGTGTAGTTGATGCATAGCTGCTCAAAGGAGTTCAGCTGGAAACAAAAAAAAGAAGTGAAAAGCAGAATTTAGTTTTGGTGAAATGTTTTTCTTGGGGATCATTGTTTAAACGGGACTGATTGTTTATATAAACAGATAAAGAATGTGCTTTAACTCCTCTGAACCCAGAAACCTGCCAGCAAGCTTGGAAAGCGTGTTATGTTCCACTGGAAAACTGAAAACCTGAGCTCAACGTTGGAATATTTTGTACAAATCACTTTATTCGACACGTCTCGTTCAACAAATCGTTTACAACAGATTCTGTGACAAAAAATTCTGCGCTCCTTGACGTAAAGCCGTTAGTGGATCAGCTGTGGCCAATAGTCATGTGACAAAAACTCAGGGACTGTTAGGCTGAACTGCAGCAAGGAGACAAGTATGGAAGCAAATCAGAAATGTAAGTAGTAAAATATCCACACTAAGTAGAGTTGCCATTCTTGTCCAGCAGTGGCAACACCTGTGGACACTTGAAGAGTTCATTTGCAAAAACAGATAACTCAGAAAACTTTATTTTTTTGTTGTTTGCTTGAGATAATATCAATCAATCTGAAGCTGAGTGGATTTGACTCAGTAGAAATGACAAAAATAGAGACAACTGATTGATGATTGATAATGTCTCAGGTAGATGATGGATAGGTGGGTTTTCTGAAGGTTTGTGAAGATGGAGTTTCTGTTTTTGCAAATGAACTCTTCACTTCTTTTTTATGATGTTGCACATGTCTTCTCTACTTCTATCCATAGTTGTGCTGTTTCCATCGAGAAGCAGGAGTGTTTACGGTAGATTATTATGATTACAGGGAAAAACGAGTCCAGAAGAACCAAGCACACCCAAAAACCACTTTGGACTGAGAAGGTTAATTTGCATGAACTGGATAAACTAATCAAAAAATGTCAAATGTTCAGTCGAGCCTCATCATTGGTTTGTTTTATGAAGGAAAAGAAGTGCAGCAGCTCACTTCATAATCTGTGTAAAAGCTCTTGTTAGTATTGAATCACTTCGATCAGCACCTCAAAGATCTCAAAGCCGGCGATGTCCAGGATGCCAATGAAAGACGCCCCCTGTCGCTTGGTCCGGTCCAGGGCCTTGTTGATGCGGTGGACCAGCCAGCGGAACAGCCGCTCGTACGTCGCCTTGGCCAGCGCTTCAACAGCAAAGTCGGCCTGAGGCAAAACAAAGAGCGGGAGATGAAAGACGTTATTAATAATACATGTGAGACACGAGTGCAATACAGGAATTTAAAACTCTGCGTGGCTGCTTGAGTCTGGAATGTGGATTAATCTCAGTATGACATCAGACAACGGGCTACAATTAGGACGATCCATTAGCCAGATGGTGTGGATGACGTGTCCAAACACATGCTTTGGATTTGCAAAAAAAAAAAGAAAAAAAAGATGAAGTATCGTCTAAACAGGATGATATCACAGCACAAAGTGGAACCGAATATTTTTCAGGTTTAAAAAATATGGAACGCAAACATAATTGTGGTTTAACAGATTATTTGAATGAGTTAAAATTCAAGCAAACTGATGATTGATCAAAAATACAAAACATTCCCACGTTTCTGCTTCCAGTTATGAGAGTTTGGCTTTAGTTTTTTTTTTAATTTTTGGGGTTTTAGAGAGTTGATCACGTCTTTCTCTTTAACTCAGCGGAGACAGGAATGGATGGACTGATGGAAATGGACTGCTGATGAAAACAAGCAATTTGAGTTTTAGAAAATAATCTCCATCTCAACCGAACCTTCAGCGGCCTCCTACCTGTTCTTTGGTCTGGGCCTTCTGCACGTAGTCGCGGCCCACTTTGATCCTCGGGGTGAGGATGGCTCTCGTGAACTCCATAACATTCATTCCGAGCAGGTGGCAGAGCTTCTGCGCCGCTGGGAGGAGAAGGGAACATCAGGCATGCGGCTTACTGCATAATGCAAATGCTGATTTCATTCCAGGGTGTATAACACCAGCTTTTATAGAATAACACCACATCTGTAACTCTCTTATGAATTTAAGTTTGATGCTGGGTTCAAAAAATCACATTAAAACTCACACAGAGACTCCTGAAAGCAACACCGCCTGACGGATGCACCAAATGTTTGCATATCCTGGCTGCACTGTGAGTGAATTACTTCTTTAAATGAGCAATATGTTTAATGGGCCCTGAGAATTTAATAATACAAGCTGCATATGCGTTTATATGGGCATTTCATTTGACTCCTTTCTATGTGACGAGGACGCAGGACAGTCTGATGTTGCTGACCAGATCCAGACGTTACAAGCCCTCCTATATAAGGAGACGCATCACGGAGCTTCAGCGTAATCGTGTTTCTTATAACGCGTGTGCTCACAGTGAATGAGTAAATCGTGTGAGCGTGTAACACGTGGACGGCTTTACGCCACCTGTTGTGGTGGAAGCTGGAGGCTCACAGTCATCTCACATTCTGGATTAATGACTGATACCAGTGTGTGTTTATTTGGATTGTGTACCTGTGTTCTCGGGCATGGAGGCTTGGTCGGTGTTCCTCTCCTTTTTAAAGACGATGTTGCCGAACTGCAGCACCGCAGACACCACCTTCAACATGCCTGGAGAGGACAAGACGAGAACGCTTTGTTAGATAATGCCAGAGAGGAAGAAAGAAGCAAGAGTGTGCTTTGTTTTAAGGGAACATCTGGAAGCATTACTCACAGACGATCTCATCGTGGGAGAAGCTCATGATGTGCATGGCCTCCATCGTCTCCTGGAAGTTCTCCTTGTCCTGCTGGCCCGGGATGGGAATGTTCCCATTTGATAGGAAACGGTAGTTGTTAAAGCCTTCGAGGAGCAGGTCCGCTGAAGAGAAAAGCAAACACAGATGCTTTTTATAGAGGTTTTCCCATTAAAGATGACTTAAACGGCCGTTTAAATCATCATCTTTTTAGCGTTTGCAGTCAGTTTGTCTTAGTTCATATGTGTGTTGCATGCTGGAATCATTGTGTACTTATTTCAGCCTGATAAAGTCAGAACTTTTATGAAAATTGGACTGTTTGATGGAAGATTACAGTGAGGTATGTGCCAGCGTCCATTTTTAGAAAAAGGCAATTCAGCCACCACACGGAGTAATTACGTAAGTGACGGAGGGATTGCGTGGCCTTTTAAATCCTCTAGTTCATAGGAAAAATATGCTGTAAAGGGCTCACTTTTTAGTGTCTGAATATGCATCACCGTGAAACAATGTGCTAACAAGGAAAATTAAAAGTTAACAAGAGAGAAAATTTTGTTCTGCTGGCTCTAACTCGAACCAGCTCTCCTAAAGCTCTGCTCCTCGCCTGAAGCAGATTAACAGAATCTCTCTGTCACTGCTTTAAAAACGATGTTTATCCCGATCGGTCACTCACTTCGAAGATGCTCTCCAGCTCCTGCCAGCAGGCGGTAGAAAATGTGAAAGGTCCTCTCGTCTTTGGCCTGTCTGATGGCCCTCGACTTCTCCAGAAGATCTGAGAGGAAAAGTTAAGGACTGACGAAAACCACAGCATGAAAAATAAACATACTTTTACTGACGAGGAAGAAACACCTGCTTGGACTGGAAAAGTTCTAATTTTTTGGTAATTGATTGTGTAAACTTTAGCAGCTAGCACCTCAAATCAAGAAAGTCCTCAGCACCAATGAAACAACAAATTTGTGAAAAATCAAATCTTTATTTGTTCTCCAAACAAATTCACACATAAGGAGTCTTTTCCATTCTTTTCTCACCAGGAACAACAAACTTGAATTTAAAAAAAAAAAAGAGATATAACATTGAAGAGTTAATTTCATCTGGATAAATGTAAATATCAATATATCTGCACCTTCAATACTCTTGTAAATAATACTACTTATTTAAATTTAACTGTAATTCTTCACTCCACAATATTTTTTGCTTCTGCTTTGCACTATTACAGTTACTTTTATTTTTATTTATATATTTATTGTTGCAGCAACCCACCAGAACAAATTCCTCGTGTTGTGTAAACTATACCTGGGAATAAATCTGCTTCTTATTTCTTTACACCTCACTGAGCTCTAGATTCGTCTGGGAAACACGCATAACGGGATTCTTGTGGTGCAGCACAGGCTGTGGTGAGTCTCTATAAACTCGAAGCGTACCCCGTCTTTAAGCTCTTTGTGTTTTAAGCACTCAGTGTGTCCCGGTAATAAGGATACAGGTTTCAATATTGGCCCCAACGATGTAGCCGGTGACATCAAAGTTGATTCTGATAAACTTCCCCTGCAGGAAACAACACGCACAAGTTAGAAAAAAAGGTTATTGAACTTCACAGGATAGTTAAAAAGCCGATGATGCCAGCGTGTTCGTATGCGAGCGCGTGCAGCTGTCATCCATCTATTTTCTTCCGCCTCGTAGCGCAGCTGCGTTTTAAATATCACCTTGTGGATTCTTGCAGATGACAGAATCGCAGCGAAGAACAAAATGCCTATATTAGGAAATGCCAGGTTAACAGGTCAGAAAGAATCTCAGGCATGTCTGTGGTTTCCTGACCGTGTGTGTGTGTGTGTGTGTGTGTGTGTGAATGTGTGTGTGCCCATCTGTCTCCTGGTATTCACTGAGACAGCCGCTGATTCATGTGGACCTCAGCGCCGTGGCGGGTAAACTCGACCACGGCGCTCGGCGAGTGTGAGAAGTTGTCACAACATTATCAGAGATAATATAATAGAGAAGCACGGCATCAGTCCACCTTATAATAAAGACTTATGAAACCAGACCTACGAAAATATTCAGATTTTTATTAAACATTCTCATATTACATAATTATATTTTTAAAAAGCTCCATTCAAGAAATAATGTCATTTGTTCTCTTGTTAACTGAATTAGATGAGAAAACTGATGCTGCTCAGTCATTTATCCAAATGTGAAGAAAATCCACCAACAAACCTCTAAAAAGCTCACAAACCGACACGTTGTCTTAAAAGCCGACACGAGTACGACATGCTGTGGCTTACTGGCTGTCATGTGCCTGGTTCTTGGCAGAGAGCAGCAACTCCCTGTTGTTCGACTACCAAAGAAGTGAGCTAGAAGGTTTTAATTGGCGATCACAAGAAGGTCTAATCGGTGTGGTGTTTTTGTCTTTATGCTAAGCTAAGCTAACTGGCAAGTAGACTTAACTTCATATTCACCATACAGACATGAAACCGGGGTTTATCTTTTCATTCATTGAGCTCTAATAACTAATAATACCGTTTTATTTATCCCAAATGAGAGCAAAACAGCTTAATGTACAGTTTTAAAACATGAAAGCTATTTGGAACCATCGCTTTTACAAATCTAATTTTGAGGATTGTATATTTATATAGAATTATATCAGAATACATTTCAACCCTCGAGTTAAAACAAGCACTAAAGATGTTAAACACAAACAAATACTATTTTTATAGTCTACATAGTCAACTGGCAATAGAAGCATGTGTGCTTTGGGGCTTCAACTCATGATTTTTTATTCTGTTGTTTAATCTGCGAATTAGTTTCTCAGCTAATCAATTGTTTGGTCTATAAAATGGCAAAAAAAACTTTAATTGGTGTGTTGAAAAGTTCAAATTAACGCCCTCAAATGTCTTGTTTCATCTGCAACCCAAAGACATCTACAGTTATTAAATACAAGGAGGAATTCTTAACAACTGACCCAATCCTCAAAACTTCACACTCCCCATCAGGGAATCAAACCCCGGTCTTCCACATGACAGGCGGAGATACTGTCCACTATAGTATAGTGGACAGTATCTCCTATAGTATAGTGACTATACTAACGAGGACTGGGTGCTCCCCTTTCAAAGTGGAACAGAAACACTAACGGTTTCAAAACTTTTTAAATGAATAATTACTTGATATTAGGAACATTTCTTTATGTCTGTGAAGATTCTCAGTCATCCAGGTCATGGTTGTTCTTGTGGATTAATCGTAGCAACTGGACTCGCTTGAGTTCCTTGAAGACGTTCCACCTCTCATCCAAGAGGCTTCATCAGCTCTGACTGACTAGTTGGGAGTTCCAGATATCCTTAAGGAGTCATTAACACCTGAGTTTCGGTTTCAAACTCAGGGAGGACAGACAGTTTGAGAGAGGGTTGAAAGAAGTTATCTATGTCAAACTGGACAGACCATCCCTCAACAGAGGTGGAGGTCTGAGGCGTCACCTCTCATCTGTTTACAATTCAGTCCTAAGATCTCTCCCCAGGAAGCTGAACCCACATCCACATCTAGCCACAACAGACCCTAATGAACCTCATTGTGTCAGGAGGAGTACTAACGACTCACATAACAAGGGGGAGGAGCAACAAACCCCCAATTAAAACCAAAACTCAGGTGTTAATGTCTCCTTAATAAGTATCTGGAACTCCCAACTAGTCAGTCAGAGCTGATGAAGCTTCTTGGATTGGACGTCTTCAAGGAACTCAAGCAGTTGCTACGATTAATCTACAAGAACAACATCTCTTTATGCACATCTGCTCAGGTGATTCTGTTTCCCTTCTGCTATCTGTACACATGTTTACATCAACAGAGCGATAACTGAAGCGGTAACTCACAAAGCGAGACGAGTTGTCGTTCTTCACCGTCTTGGCGTTGCCAAAAGATTCAAGGATGGGGTTGGCCTGCAGGAGCTGCCGTTCCAACTCACCCTGTGGAGGAAGACAGAGAGGTAAAGAAGCCAGCTCGCTGTCAGACAATCCTAACGCCTGGTACTGCGTAAATTAATCTCCTTTATTATTACCATTAATCAAATATTTCTGCGTCTCCAGGACTTACACAAGCTGGCAAGGCAGAACCAGAGAGAGCAGAAAAACGGAGCCAAGTCAATATGCAACAGCAATCTTTCAGACAGACAGCGATTCATCATGGCTCCGTTGGCTTCACTTTAGTCAGCTGCAGCACAATGTGATTTCTGTTGAGGGAACTCGACGGGGCCAAGACAACCAAACACTCGGACAGAACCCGTGAAACCACAAAAGCACTGCAGCGAGTGTGTTTTGCCACATGCCCTATAGTGAGCGGTTAGTTTGTGTTGATGAGTGAGAGGCTTCTTCCGGCCTGCGCATTCCTCTGGTGGTGATGATATACCCTCTATATATCCAGAAAGCGTACCACCCGGATGGTAATGATGGCTTCCTCCCAAATCTCAATTGGCGGTTGATAGGCGGTTGGGACATTCCCTGCGGCCCCTGAAACCTTCAATTCCCCAACACATGACACAGTCGCCTCTATCCAGGGCACCGGCAGCATAAAAATAGCCTCTACTGCACATCAGACCCTGCCTTGACTGAGGAGACTCCTCTGGACTCCGACTGCCCAGCAGGAACAGAGTAAGTTCTGCTTGAACTCTGACTTGCTGGCAGATCCTGCAGGTTAGCGATCAAAAGAATATAGGACACTCCTCCTTAAATCTGTTGTTGAATAGAAGACCAGAAAATTAAGACTGATGCTCAGTAGGTGCACAACACACAAATGCAACAGCCTGGTTCGCTTCCTGGTCATCTATATCTTTGTTGTACATCTCTTCTCATTTCCTGTCTGGTTTTCTACTTATGTTTTCCAATAAAGACAAGAAATAACACCTCAAAGAAACAGAGACAACACTAATGCTTTGGCATTTATAGCACAGATAGAGCAAAAAGAGTTTTCAGGCTCATGAAGGTGGTTTTATTTTAACCTGCTAAGTCACCATGGTAACTGATGCTGCACAGCTAACCTGGTCTGGAGGAGGTTTGATTAGAAAAAAGCTGCTGCATTGAGAGCCCACTGAGTGTATGTTAGCTTACACGACAGCTTCCTAATAGCATTTCGCTGTTGCTTTATCTTCAGTAACAGTGCTTCTTGACTCTCCATAAAAACAACCTGTTTGTCTAAAGCATGCAGCATGCTATCCATTTGGTGCGAATGAAGAGTCAAATGACTTCTTTGGGAGTGACCACAGAGCCCGATAACAAAAACCAGAAAGCTGTTGTGATACACACAAGCCAGCTAACACAACAAATGTCTCGCAATGGTGCATTTGCTTTGTAGTACGATTCAAAAATGCAAAACATCACAGAAACAAGAGTTTCCTGATTAACAAGACTGAGCTCTTGTAGTTTTCTAAATACAAGATCTAACCTGTCTGGCCAGACACATGGGCCACACATGGGAATATGATATACAGCACCCTTTTGCAGAACTTAAAGTATTAAGAACAGAAGAATCTTCATGGAGCATTTCAATATCGTCTCTGTAAATCTAAACGTGTTGACACCTACATGCAGACACAGGTGACAGAAGGAGGGAGTAATCGTTTTCCTCCATAATTTGTTTCCCTGTAATCTTACAAATTCTGAATAACAGAGAAACTGGTGCATAAATCCCGGTAGAGACGGCGATCCCATTCATCTCTCCCTCTGAGAGAACCATGAAAGTCTTCTGCTCTGCTTCACCTCCTCTCCACTACTTCTTCTTCCCCCCTTTTCCAATCTGCTTTCCTGTACCATATCTCTGCTCTCACTCAATCCCTGGCTCGACATTCCTCTGGCCTGTGCTCAGAGGCGGCGGCCGTAATGCAATGCAGAGGCAGAGCAGAATTAAGGAGTTCAGTGTGGACGGTGTACTCTGGCAGGGGGGGAGCGCCGAGGCACCGAGTCGCAGCTACTCACTCTCAGCTACTGAAACGCAGCATATTAAACAGGCATTTACTCAGATCGGGCGCGCTCAGAGCTGCGGGTTACAGAACTCACATAAGACTCCCTCTGCTTCTATAGTTATTAGATTTACAGAAGGGCAGAGGAAACATCAGGTACTGGTTTAGGGCAGAAAGAAAAATAGCTACCGGATAAATCGAGCGGAGACGAGGTGAGCCAGAAAATATCGAGTTTGTGGAGAGCACGAGAAACAGAAGATGGAATTGGGTTCAAGTCAGAACCGTGTCAGCAGAAGCTCAGTCATATTACCTGAGTTTATCTGGGGGGAAAAACGACGTGAATTATGATCTGAAAACCCCCAAACACTCAATAATATCATTAAAAATCTATTCAAACTACAGACATGCATCTAAAGTAAAACATGCTGGAATAAAGTATGAATTAAAAGCCTTTATGTCTCCATTTCACACCTTGACTTGCAATAAAAAAACATTCACTACATAATAAAACATGAAGCTTGAGGAGAGATGTTTGGTGCGGCTGTGGTCTGATTATCACGCTGCTCTTTCTTCCATAAATTCAACATATGAACTACTTGACGCTCCGCCAGCACTCAATGAGGAGCTTTACCAGCAGGTATTTGACTGACGCGTGTTCGCAATAACACATCTACAATTTCCAACTGTTCCAATAAACCCAGACCAACTGATAAAACAAAGTGTTTTATTATCGCGAGCCTGCCGGTTTAATGGCAGATTCACTGGGTTTCAAATGATCATGTGAGAAGACTGAGCCAGCACAAACAAATACCTCATGCAGAAAGAAGCTTAGATTAGTCCGTCAACATCGTTACGGAAGCGGCAGAGATTTAGAGAGAAGGGCATGCAAAATACACACAAACTGGACCACACACTCTTTTTGAGAAAGCAGGAGAGACACTTGCCTGTAGCTTGAATGCTTTGGGAGATTCGGGCTGTTTGTTATGGATAAACAAATGCAAGTGTTAAAACCTGAAGCTTTTACAGGAAACAGAACACCACTTAGTCCAGCCTTCTCGCAGAATGGCGCTGGATGGCAATGAAGCATTAGCAGAGATGTTAACGTCTACCAGGTTAGCTGTAAATTACCTTATTCACAGCCAAACATTAGCTATGCACTATAAATGTAAGAACACAGTAGGATTACAATGCATAAAGAGAATATTTTGACATTTTGGGGGAAGCACGAGCTTGAAGACTGACACCACTCTGCTGCCTCTGTGCTAAACGTGAAGCCATTAGCGTAGCTTTACAGGGAGACTGGAAACAGCTAGCCGGGCTTTGTCCAAAAGTAACAGAATCCACCTACAGAACCTCTAAAGTTCACCAGAGGCGCTTTCAGACATTTACAATAATCATCCAAAAATGGAAACTTTACAACTGAAGGTGCACTTTTTCATCCATCCATCATCTATACACTGCTTAGCCCTCACTAGAGTCGCGGGGGGCTGGAGTCTATCCCAGCTGACTCAGGGTGAAGGCAGGTTCACCTGGACAGGTAACCAGTCTATCACAGGGCTACACTTAGAGACAGACAACCAAGCACACTCACATTCACACCTACGGACAATTTAGAATCACCAATTAACCTCAGCATGTTTCTGGACTGTGGGAGGAAGCCGGAGAACCCGGAGAGAACCCACGCTGCACGGGGAGAACATGGAGACTCCACGCAGAAAGATCCCGGGTGTCCTCACCGGGACGCGAACAGGCGACCTTCTAGCTGTGAGGCAACGATGCTAACCGCCGCGCCACCTTGCAGCCCACTTTTTAAATCGTGTTTGTTTAATCCGTGTGGAAACTGTGGTGCATTGACACGTCACCGTTTTGTGGAAGATCATAGATTATTTCTTAACTCTGGACAGTTGCCAGGCAACCAGCAGGAGTTCCAGGGAGTCAGCGCCCCATCCAGGCAAAGGTCTCGCACATAAACACTTCAGCTTTTGTACGGATTAAACAAACAAGAGTCAGGCTAGCTTGTGCTAAGCTATCTGGCTGCTGGCTCACATTTAACACACAGGGATGAGAGTGGCGTCATTATCCTCCTGCTCTTTGCTGTTTCTTTAAATTACAACAATAGTTCTGAGAGACAAATAACAATAAGGCCACTTTGTTTTTCATTTAAGGTGAAAAGATGTGCTGTTGAGCAGAGACAGTTGAAATGAGAAATGAGACTAGAGGACAAGAGGTGAGAGATGAAGGAAAGCTGGAGGCCCAGGCTGGGCCAAGGATAGAGGAGGAGAGAAGTAGGCAGCGGGGCTCTCACAGGAATGTTGTGGTCTTTGCGTCCTTTGTGTGAGGAGGCAACGTGGGCCAGGTACTGGATGACCTTCTTCGTGTTCTCGGTCTTGCCAGCGCCAGATTCACCTCTGAAAGCAAATGGCACAGAGAGCACACACATGAATAGTGTAAAAACGCGAACCAATGAAGGACGACTGAGAGAAAACACAAAGAGTTTGACATGATTTACAAGGTTTGAGTTGTGAGGCATGGCCACATTACAGAAGAAAATCTGTTTAGGTTGTGTACAGTTTAGCAAGGTGCTGACAAAAAGCTGTAAAACTCTGACCAACACAACCCTGAGTCATCATTATAGCGGTTAAGAGTGAATGGTGAGCGAGTAACCATCATCCTATCTGTTGTTTTTTGGAATCCGTCTATTTGTTTGTCTGTCTCACTGGAGAATGCTGTGGTTTCAGCGAGCCGGTCTCCAAAGTTTCCAGGCCCTGCTTTTGGCCGGTCCCTAATGATAGCTGTGTTCAGGCAGGGCCATCCACAGTTCCCGCAGTCAGGTCCCAGAGCCCAGAAAAACCAGGGCCAAGAGCGAAACCAGGCCAGCGACACTACATCTAGCTGCATACCGGTGGCTTTAGTCTAGCTGGCTATTACTGCAGCTCTACGGCACACTGCAGTTTTAGCTGCCACATTAGAATTTGTTGGGCGAGTCCTCGAGTGCAGGACTGGAAACAGCCATGTATGGCAAGAATATAGGTCAGATTATGTAGATGCACACCCCACTGTGGACTGATGTCTTCATAGTTTCACAGGAGTGTCGGAATAGGCCTCACGGTTACTCTCTTATCTCTTACTGAGAACATGTGGCTTTAAGGGAACGTGGACCTCTCACTGTCACAATTCTCGTGTGTCAAAGGGTCAAAGGACTCCTCTACTAATGAACTAACTCCTATGTGAGAGATTCCTGGACGCTCCCCGTTCCGTTCTTCGGGATGTGGCACATGAACACGAGGCTAACTCAACAGCTACTCTTTAATTGTGCGTTTTGTGGCATCACTGTCCAAGTGACAGTGTCATAAGATTAAAAAAAAAACCCTCAAAGGAGCACGTCTGTGGTTTGTTTTGACTGTGACCTAGAGTTAGATCTTATATTTATAGCAGACTGTTGTGACTGTAATGCTTCAGTCATTACAGCTGCTTCACGTGGTTGTCCGTCGATATGAAACTATTCATTGGTGTTTTAAAGAAACAAGCAAACACCAGATCTTGACAATACAGATCTGAATTTTTACTTTAAAACACATAACCATAACTATGATTCTATGCCTCTATGCCGCCAACAGGGGGTGTAGTTTTTCAGATTTGAGGACAGATTATGCAACCAGTCCTCTCCAACCCAAGCCACGCCGAAGCAGAAGTGGCACTTAATTACTCTCTGCCATAGAGGATGAAGCAGGCCACCAAACCGCACTCATAACTCCCTCCGTGCTGGGTAGAGCGGCCGCATAAGCCCGGCATCCGCAAAAAAAGCTATTTGAAACCGGTCTTTAAATAAAACACAGCGGGATAATGAGGAGCTGGCCGAGTGAGTCAGGACGAGAGAGGGAGATGGTAAAAAGGGGGTACAGAGGCAAAAAAACAACTGGGAAAGTTACAACCCTTATAAAGTACTCTGATTACAACTGGAAGCTTTTCAAGGACGGAGAAGTGAGGCTATGCATTTATATACACGACAGCCCTATTAAGGTGAGGCTATATAGTCTTCATGTCCGGACACTTTCATTTTCCAGTCTATTAAGCTGCTTTATCACTAGAACCACCATGTGTCCTAACAGAGAAATCACCTCAAGAGGAGAGGAGGGAAGGGATTAGAGAGAGTAAAGGGTTGCAATACTCACGTGCAAAGGATTGATTGGTCCTCACGATCTGTACAGACAAAACAGAAAAACACAGTCAGCATCTTGTCATCTTTCCGCCCCTGATTCTTCCCATTGTTCCAGCTAGAGTCATTACAAAGATGGCCTTTATGGGGTCAATACAATCAGCAGGTATATTGGAAAAGACCGTAAACATACAGCAACACAACTGGTATTCTTTTTTTGCTGATGGGTTGCAGTTAAACACGGCTCTGTTGTTACCAAAGTCACATTAACCAAGTGAGCATCCAAAGTCACGCTGTGCAACGGCCATAAACTGAATCCCAGACTGGTAACCAAAGCTCCTCTACCTTTCATCGCAGAGGAATTCAGACCAAAGTCCAGATGATAGGATTAGCAATGCTCAATGGAGTAGGTGACCTCTCAACTTTGAAGGTCCTCCAGCTCACTACGGAGGACTACAAAGACCAGGACCAGCAGGGAGCTGACACGTTTGTCGTCTAACAGGAACTCCAGACTATTTCTCATGGTGCCACAATCGGAGCATGACCTAATTCAGCGGTTAGAATAAGTGGTTTGTTACACGTTCAAAGAGAACACGTTAGCATCTAAATATGTTCTCAGAAAGGGTTCGTAAAATTCATACATGTGAATGTTGTGAAAGTTTTTCTGTCATGCAGCTGAACTGTCGGTGTCCACGCTGCTTGTGTTGAGTTGGGTTTCAAGTTTGCAAACATTTCACCCGTTTATCTTTTTGCCACTTTAATGAACTAATTCAATGATTTATACATTTCAGTTAGCTAACAACAACTTGTGCATAAGTTTTACAGCAACTGACTGTTTGTTCATTATTTTCAAAAATCTATTTTCTCTATATTTATTCACTTCTTCAATAAAACTATTTTAACTTCTCAACTATCTAAGTGTCTAATGTAAGAGCTGAATTTAATTAATTAGCTAAGTTTTATACATATCTCTTGCAACTGCAGGCTACAGACACCCTGAAACTTACTGGACTGAAGGCCAACGAGCACAATTTACCTCATGAGATCAAAAAATGAGGAAACATTTTAAAAAGAAAAACAAACATCCAAAAATGGGAATGGATATAAATGCAATTTACAACTAAGCCTGGACAGGATCAGCCACAACATTAAAACCACTGAAAAAATGACGTGAATGCCATTGATGACATTGTTAAAATACAATGTTCTGCTTGGAAACCTTGGACATTCATACTTTGACACGTACCACCTACCGAAATACTGTTTCACACCGAGCACGGTCCTCTAGCAATGGCCTCCCCCTGTTACACTGCAAAAACTACTCAGGAACAGCTTGAAGAGCATGACAACCAGCCCAGAGGTGGTCAACTGGCCTCCAAACTCCCCAGATCCCAATCAGATCAAGCATCTATGGGATGTGCCAGAACGACGCTTGATCCACAGGACCCAAAAAATCCACTGCCAACATCTCTGGCCAGACATCTCAGAGATCCTTGACCGAACCATTCAGAGGTGTTTTGGCAGCATGAGGGGAACGTACACAATGTCAGGCAGGTGGTTTTAATGTTATGGATGTATGGTATTCTGTGAACAGTAGCTGCTGTTGTCATTTCCATTATCACAAGCTTTAATTCACCTCAACATTTCCTCGACACTTTAGGTACAACTATAAACACACAAAGCTGCTCGCTGAACCAGATCTCCCCATACATCACCTTCATTCACACTCATACGTGAGGATGTCTTGCAGTAGCCGTTCACTGAAACCCACCCTCCTGATCTGCAAACCTCTCCTGCTGCTATGTGAAGAATGAAGCCTGACATCACCACCTCGTCCTTCAGCAGACATGGACGAAATGATGTCATCACATGTGTCAGCAACAAAGGCCAGAGGCTAAAAACATGTGGAGCGAGAAGAGGAGCAGCTGCAGTGGACGGTATGTCCGGCCTGCAGGTACAACGCTGTGTACACATGTGTGCAGAGGGGCTCTTTGAAGTGAGACCGCTTCTTTTATTTTGGTTTCATGGAGAAGTTCATCGAGGAACTTTGCATCATCCTTAACGAACAGCAGACAACAAACAGATTTAATTATCATTTTAAAAGGATCTTCTGTGCCACTAATTTGAAAACTCAAGCAGTCCCTCAGTAGTTCCTGACATTCCTGTGGTAGGAAGGAAGGAGATTTTTCATTTCCTGAAAAAGACAAATTTGGGAACACATCCTAAACTTATAAAAGTAAAAGGAAGACAACCACACAAACACAACGCTGCACTACGACGGGAACAAGAGCAGGTTTTGTTGCTAGACGTCATACGGTGTCTATTAGTTGCTTAAAGATTACAGCTGAAGCCATGTTTGAAGACATTTACCTCCTCAAGAGTTAAAGAAACTTAAGTGAGCACTTCCTCCTTGATGTCAGAATAAAGTCAGCTCAGAAAGAGATGATGATGATTAGCTGGAAGCTCAGAGGATAATAATAGCAGTCCTCCTAATAGTCATCCACTCTGGAGAGACGGAGAGTTCAGCTTCGAGGGCTTGCCACATAGATGTATTCACACCTCGCTGATGGAGGTCAGTTCTCGGCTCAGACAGTCTTCAAGGTGTTATCTCTCACCAAAGAAGAGACCTTTTGTAAATACAATAAGACTGTTATTCAAGTTAAAGGGAAAACCTGTAAAGTTCGTCGGATAGGTGGCGTTCGTTTCTCATATCTAGAAATATCCATCCATCCATCATCTCTACACCTTAATCCTCACTAGGGTCATGGGGGGCTGGAGTCTATCCCAGCTGACTCAGGGTGAAGGCAGGTTCACCTGGACAGGTAACCAGTCTATCACAGGGCTACACTTAGAGACAGACAACCAAGCACACTCACATTCACACCTACGGACAATTTACAGTCACCAATTAACCTCAGCATGTTTCTGGACTGTGGGAGGAAGTCGGAGAACCCGGAGAGAACCCACGCTGCACGGGGAGAACATGGAGACTCCACGCAGAAAGATCCCGGGTGTCCTCACTGGGACGTGAACCGGTGACGATTGAAATCCTTCAACATGACAATCCAGAGGTGAGACCAGTCCAATGTGGTTCTCTGAAAGCCGCCGCCCTCTCAAAACTCACAAAGCCCCACAGAGACGGCGTCCGCTCGCTCACCACCTAAACTGGATCCATTTAAAAACGAACACTAAGGGAACCATTCATAAGAGCCTAATCAAATTTAGGACTGACCACATCAACAGAACAAACAAATGGGATAATTCAATGTGGATTAATAAAGTTGGCATTGGACTAATTTACAAGAATTACACCAATCCTGGAAAGCTATCTGATAACATATAAAAACTCTAAAGCCAGGACTGTGTATTATTCTGAGCATGACGAGGAGTCGCGGCTCAGTGCAGCTTAGCTTTCCTTTATCTCTCAGTAGGAACAACTTCATGAGCTTCATTACAGAATTAATGATGCACTGACTACCTCTCCTCTTTCTTTTTTTTTTACCATGCATCTGTATTCTATACACCTTTGTGCCGTCTCTCTCCCATAGTTTGTGCTTTATGGTCAATGACCGAACCAAACTGCCCAGTGCTTATTTTTTGTTCTCACTTTTCATGTTTTCCACTTTATCAGGTCTTTTTCCTGATAATAGGGACTGCTGCCAAGTGCTGCTTAATCACAACGTCTTGATCACACCATGCGGTGTCCTGAGGTTACTTATGCTGTGATTTGGCACAAAATAAATGAGACTGAATAGAGCTGAAGTGAATTGTTCATGCACAAAAACATTAATTGCCTTGATGAGGTTGCCTGATTTCCATGCTTTCTCTGATTTTAAATACATATATTCAGATGTATGGGAGTGTAGATCAGATAAAAATATGCATCAAAAAACTAAAATAAAACAAACGTATGCACCCTTGCAGCTACCTCAGCAGTGTGACTGATGAATGAGCTGCTCATAACTGCCCTCATTTCCCCTGATGATGGCTCTTTAAAACGTGGGTCACAGTGTGATTACTCTTCCTGCCAGTTCTACACAGACCTGATGCTTATCACATGTACCTAATATTGTTGTTTTTAGCACCAGAAGTCCCACCGGACCGAGGCACGCAACACTGCGTAACCTATCGCGAATATCAAAACCGAACAATCGGCTCGGTTTCACACGACCGTACACGGAGACGGCCTGCATGTGTGACCTCATGCCTCTGACATCAGCACCTGACTGCAATCTGCAAAGGATGAGTAAACCAACCTGGTACCAATTTTAACTTGAAATTTAAAAGATGCACCGTTAGTGGCCAACAACTACCTTCAGCTAGAGTCATCCCAAATACCCAAACAGTTACCTCAAGGGTTGGGCTGGTGTCCTAATAAATGCCATGTGACAGATGTGTCTGGAAGGGAAGAAAGTAGCTTTTCTGCCTTTAATGTACAGGACAGTGAAAGAGAAATATTGGGAGAAGATTGGGGAAAGGACATGCAGCTGGCTGGAATTGAACCACGGCCGCTGCGTCGGGGGACTAGAGCCCCTGCACATGGGTCACCCGCCCAACCTGTTGAGCTACCTGGACGCCCCTTGCCACCTGTTTTGAACTATTTAAGAAGTGATGAATGACATTAACCAGTGACAGTGGAGTTGAGATGTGTGAGTGTGTTTGTACACAAGCTACCTATCAGTCCTGGCTGATGGGAAGACAATAGCAAAAGAAGAAAGTCATTTTATTTGTTATTAAGTAAAAGGAAGGCACATAAACACAGATGCACACACCTGGACTTGATTCTCAGTCACTTCATTCTCTGCTCATCAGACATCTATTTATCCGTCTTCCACCTCCTTCCTGCAACCTCCCATTTAACCTTCTTCTGTGGCTATCCAACACCTCTCAGCTTTTTTTCTGATTGCCAATCATTCCTTTAATCTTGCATCCCCCTTGACAACAAAATAAAGTAGATATTGCCTTTAGTTGCCACAGCTTTTGTAAAAAACCTCCTCTACTATCAAACTGCACATGGAGAGCAATCAGAGTAGTGTCGCTCTTT